AGCTGTAAATGGATTTTCAAAGTTAAGGAAGGAATCGAAAGAGTGGCGTCGAAGAGATACAAGGCAAGATTGGTTGCTAGAAGGTTCACTCAGAAAGAAGGTGTCAACTTCACTGATGTGTTTTCTCCTGTTGTGAAGCACAAATCCACTCGAATGTTGCTTGTCACACTGGCACAGTTCGACCTTGAACTGAAACAGATGGATGTGAAGACTGCCTTCTTGTATGGTGACTTAGATGAAACAATCCTGATGAGGCAAACTGAAGGGTATGTCGAAAAAGGGAAGGAAGATTATGTGTGCAAGCTGAATAGATCCTTATATGGACTGAAACAATCTCCACGACAGTGGAATAGGAGATTCGATAAGTTCATGGCACGCATAAGTTTCATCAGAAGTCAATTCGACCACTGTGTTTACTTCAGATTTTGACCGGTTAATTCATTTGTTATTTTGTTGCTCTATATGGATGATATTATAATAGCAATCAATAATGTCGAAGAGGTAATGAGGGTGAAGGTTGAACTCAATAAGGAGTTCGACATGAAGGACCTGGGAGCTACGTCCAGTATTTTTGGGATTGACATCTGAAGAGATAAAAAGCAGTTGAGATTATGCTTATCACAAGAGGCATACCTACGAAAGATTCTCGAAAAGTTTGGTATATCGAATTCAAAGTCTGTTGTGACTCCGAAAATTCCTCAACTCAAGCTGAGTATAGATTAGTCTCCCAGCACTGACATTGAAAGAACTTATATGAATATCATTCCATATGCTACTATAGTGGCTTCTTTGATGTATGTTATGGTCTGTACTAGGCCTAACATAGCATATGCAGTAAGTCTTGTAAGCAGGTACATGGCGAATTCTAGAAAGGCTCATTGACAAGCATTAAAGTGGATTCTAAGGTACATAAATGGGTCTCTAAATAGAGTCTTAAATTATGGTGGAGCCTTGAGTGAAGATAGTAAAGCAGCAATCGAAGTTTGTTCACATGCTGCTGATATGATCACCAAGACGTTGCCCAGTTGCAAATTTTTCCACTGTATGCAGTTGATAAAGCTGCATGAAGAAAGCTAGTTTCTTGATGTTATATAGTTAGATCCTAGGTGGATATTTGTGAGATATTGGATCGAACTCTAGTATGGTCGAAGGGTAGCTTCTGGTTCGATAGAAATTAAGCATGAGGTCAAAGTATGTTCGCATGCTGCTGTCAGAGTAATGCGTGTTGTAGTCGAAGTTTGCTCTAATATGCATTAGTCAATATTGTTAGGATTGTTAGCATGTTGAATTGGGCCTTGCTTGTAAGCTTAACTGTTTAAGTTAACTTGTACCCTAAGTTAACTTGTAATGAGTAATTGTTAAAAAGTCCATTAGGTTAGTGTTCTATTTTTTCTTATAAATAGGATGCTAATTTCTCAATCTTTGCATAAGGAAAAATAGGAAAATAAAATCCTAATTTCAAGAGAGAGAGGTTATTTTGTTATTCTTGTATACTTGTAATCTTGTTTCTAAGAGAAAGGAAATAATAGTAGTTTATAACCAATCCTTGTTGCTCCTTGTTGTTTTACCTTGTTTTCTTTGTTAATCCTAACCCTTGTGTGTTTCTTGGTCATAAAAAAATCGTTTATACTTTGTTTCAAGGTATCCGATTTACAACAGTTAGGAAAGAAGACCGCAATGTAATCAGAAGATGTACACCCTCTAGCATTCTGAAGAGATGATAGTAAGCTCTTCAGCAGCCATGACTGTCGTCATCTCCCCATACTCTAGATTTTGTTTCTTCATTTTTTCCATTTTCGGTTATGATTCTGTTGGTTTTCCTACTGTTTTCTTGATCATTTGGACATTTAACTTCTATTTATTTTCAAAATATGCTTATAAGTTGAGAGTAACATTAGGATAAAGGAACCTAGCATATTTGTACTAAATTACTTCTAAATTTTATTGTTTATACAAGTTTTCGACGTGTGAAGGAGCAGTTTTGAATGAACCAATAAGATTTGCATTTGATTTTTATTAACTTGGAGAAGGCCTATGATAAAGTGTCTAGAGAGACAAACGATTTCCCATCAAAATAGATTTGCATCAAGTTTCAACACTAAGCCCTAACTTTTTAACTTAATTTTTGATGTACTCATATAACACATCCAAGAGGTAGTACCGAAATGTATGCTTTTTGCAAATGATATAGTCCTACTTGGATAGTGGAAGGAGGATTTAAATGAGATGTTGGAGACGGGCTTTAAAAACACATGATTTTTGTAAGTATAAGTAAGATAAAGTATATAAAATGTAAGTTTAACAAAAGAAGAAGCATTTTTAATTTAGAGGTGAAAGTTGGAGACCACATCATCTTTCAAGTAACACAGTTTAAGTATCTTAGGTCTATAATATAAAATGTTGGAGAAATAGAAAGGGATATAAACGTTCAAATTCAAGTTGGGTGGTTGAAATGGAAGAGGGTTTCAAGAATTTTATGTGATCTAAACGTACCGCTTAAGTTTAAGAAAAAAATTTATCGGATTGCGATAAGACTTCAATGACACACCCATTTTATAACCAAAAAATAAATAACAGTTGGTGCTGAAATTTGAAGCATTTATTCCTTAACTTATCACTATAATTATTTATATTAACTGCAGTGAAATATCTTACTAATAAAACAAAAAGTTTAACAGACGACACTTTTACTTCGGTTGACTTAAAGACCGAGGTAATAGTATGTTACGTAAGATATTTTTTTAATAGTGACTATAACTACTACTATATAATGACCTATTCATGGTTTGATGTGTTTTCTAAAATATACCTATCAATTGTCATTCAGACACTAATATAGTGAATTTTTTACTCTTTTTTATTGTAGTGTTTCTTTCAATATTTTTTTTGTTTGTTTTTATTATTCAACTGAATTTCTTTACAAATATTTCGACAGTAACACAAATTCTTGTAAATAGTATGTTACAAATAGTATGTTACAAAGAGAGGTAAATGGTTCCTATTCAACTGGATATTTATTTCAATCTTAATGTGGCAAATGAGAATATATATATATATATATATATATATATATATATATATATATATATATATATATATATATATATATATATATATATATATATATATATATATATATATATATATATATATATATATATATATATATATATATATATATATATATATATATATATATATATATATATATATATATATATATATATATATATATATATATATATATATATAGTGGGGACCAACTTACTTTAAGAGTAAGTTTTTTTAACTTACTCTACATCATAACCTTTAAATTGAATCTAATTTAATGATCAAATTAACATTTTTTACTTATAACTATTCGATTAAATCTAATTTAAAAGCTATGATTGTGGAGTAAGTTATACAAACTTACTCTTGGAGTAAGTTGACACACACTTTTATATATATATATATATATATATATATATATATATATATATATATATATATATATATATATATATATATATATATATATATATATATATATATATATATATATAAATCAAATTGCAATTACAACTTCAACTAATTTTATAAGAATAACTAGTCTCTATACGATGGTCAGACTCATTTGATCCAATGTAGGCATTTATGTAAATCAAATGTTTAGTGAATGCAGAGTATTCTCTAACTCAACCATCATTCAATACTACTATGACGAAATTAGATTGTTAAATGCAAATGCAGGAAGTTGGTTGGATAACATTTCATTAGACAAGTGGACAAGGACATTTGGCGGTGGATGTCATTAGGGCCACAAACAACAATCACGCGTATAAGAACAGAAATGGATACGGCTGATAAAATGATTAGATTATGTAATATATATCGTCAGCATGGACACAGTCGGAAAAATCATGTCAATGTCAGAGCAACCTCTACATCATAATTTAGTTTCTTCTTTCTATTGTTGTAACCTTAGATTTTGATATATCAATGACTTTTTGTTACAACAAATTTAACAACAAACAACACGTACAACAGATATCAGAACAAATAAACACAATATTTCTAACTGCTTACAACAATCAAACTAATATCATTTGGTCCAAACATCACTTCCCTCACATAGTTGTCAGTCTTAACACAAACTCACCCACGCAGGGGATCGTGTCTCTCAATGCTTTTAATTTTTTTCCCCCTTCAGGTATGTCTCCGTCTAACCAACAATTCAACTCCCTTTATAGTTGCTTGAAACTTTGGATGTTCCGGAAGAGCATATCCATAGTAGGTTTTTCTGTCAAATAAATCACTTTCTCGTAGTGGCGACGATATATGTTATCACTAATATAAGAATATGAGAAGAGATGTGAAAATAAATGATCACACCAACTCTATTTATAAAAAAATTATACATTGCACTCTGTCTCCAAATAAATCGGCGACAATATTCAAAAATGAATACATTATGTCTAATTGAATTGACAATACCATAAGGTGTCTCCAATCCAATTGATGACACATCTTTATCCTACAAAGGAATCATCAGTTCATCTGACACCTGAATTCTATCAATACCTTTAAAGTGGAATACTTTGCGAAATAATTTAAAAAGTGGGTTATTTTAGAATTGTTTAAGAAAAAAAATGAGGTATTTGAGTAAAAATTTCGCTAATTTTATATTCTTTTTAGGTTTATCTTAATTATTTAAATGTTCGATGAAAATTGATGTTAGCGCTTGTCTTAAAAAAGTATACATTTAGTAACAATGAAAGGTATCACATTATTTTCGTTTTTCAAATTTTCATAATAAAACAATAAAAATATGATAATAAATTTTTCTCCAACCAAAGTTACCATACATATACTATATATATACAGTATGGAACTACAAGCACAATTCTTATTCCATTACACATATAAGAATTAAATGGTACAAATTAACACAGTATATGAGGAAAACAAGACATGTAAATCAACCGGGAGAACACCATTGATCATAGTACCATTAACAACTAGCAGGACAACTTGTCTTTAATTTTAAGCAAATTTTGAATGACATGTTTTGTGAGCATTCTTTGAGTAGGAACTTCTTCAGAACATGTAATTCCTATTTTAGCAAACATCACCAGACACTCCTTTATATTGTTTTCTACAAAGGGCATAATCAAACGTGAATCTACTATGTCAAGAATTCCTTCAGGAGTTTTCATCTTACACAATTTGTGTAGACTAAGATTCTCATAAAACATATCATCAGTTGATCTTTTTCCGGTAAGCATTTCCAACAACATAATTCCATAGCTATAGATATCTCCCTCTGGTGTTACCGGACCACCAGCTCCATACTCTTTACAATCAACCAAAAAAAACTTTAAAATGAAACAAATAAAGGAGTATAATGCAAAACATTATGAATGATATATAGTAACAAGCAAGGGATAGAAAGAACTTTACCAGGAGGAACATATCCTATTGTTCCTTTAATTGTTGAGGAGTCAACTTGATCTTTACTTGTGGATCCATGAATGAGCCTTGCTAAACCAAAGTCTCCCAAGTGAGCTACCATATCTTTATCAAGAAGAACATTGCTTGGCTTGACATCACAGTGAACTACAACTTGCTCTTCATCATGGTGAAGATAATCCAATGCATGAGCTACATCAAGAGCAATGTCTACCCTTTTTGATAAGATGAGAGTATGTTTTCCAGACCCTTCATTATCATGCAAAAAATTCTCTAGACTCCCATTAGGCATGAACTCAAAAATAATAGCCTTGAATTCTTCACCCTGATAATCAACACTTGAACAGCAAGTTAAGATCTTAACAAGATTCCGATGTTTCATCTTTCCTAAAGCATTGCATTCTGCAACGAAACTCTTTGCTGCCCCACGTGTTTCAAGGTTCAACACCTTTAAAGCAATAGGTCTTTCAAAGTTAAGAAGTGATCCTCTGTAAACCGAACCAAAGCTTCCCCTTCCTACCAAATTGGATGAAGAAAATCCATTGGTTGCTTCATGTAGATCTCCATACGTAACTCTAAATGACTTATTTTGTAGAGATGGTGAAGAAGGTAATTTTTTGGGCTTTCTCATTAGAAAATGGACAGTTATAAAAGCTAGGAAAGAGATCAAAACACCCCCAATTACACTGATGATGATAAGTTTCCTTTTTAGAGACATTTTATGTTTCTTGGAGGAAGCCCTAATGCATTTTGGAAGCTTCAACTGAGGTATCCCTCCACAAAGGTTCTTGTTTCCAATTAATGAAATTGACGTGACATTGCTAAAGACACCTTTCGTGGGAACCTCACCATAGAGATTATTGAAAGATAGGTCCAAAGTATTTAGAAGTGTGAAATTTTCTAGTTCAAAGGGAATTGTGCTTGAGAAATTGTTATTAGACATATCTAAGACTTCTAAGGAACTTAAAGATCTCAAAAAGGAAGTTATATCTCCATGAAAACTATTTTCCCACAGCCTAAGCTCTGTTAAGGTAAAACATCCACCAAGTTCATTGGGGACTTCACCAGACAACTTGTTTTGATATAAATACAACATAGAAATATGCTTTAAGCTACCAAATTCTAAAGGAATGAAACCGGTGAGGGAGTTGTTAGACAAGTCAAGGTTTACTAAATTTTTTAGATAGACAAATGTTTGATTTGGTATATCACCACTCAAATTGTTATCAGAAATACTTAATGTGTCCAACTGAGTGCAATGCTTGAGGGTAAGTGGAATTCTTCCTTTTAGCTTATTACCAGACAAATATAATCCTGATAATATAGTAAGATTGCCAATACTAGTAAAGATATTACCAGATATTTTATTGTTTTCCAAGTCTAATACTACAAGATTCTTAAGTTTTCCAATTGAATTTGGAATTGTTCCCTCAAGGAAATTATTTCCGATGCTTAAGTAAGTTAAACCGATTAATTGTCCTATTCTCTCTGGTATCACTCCATAAATTTGGTTATACCTCACATCAAATCTAATCAGATGGATGGATAAGTTTCCTATAAGAACGGACAATTTGCCACCAAATCTATTTTTGTAAATTTCAAGCGTTGACAATTTAGTACAGTTGCTTAACGAAGCAAGGAAGTCCAAATCATGAGGTCCTCCACTCCCAAAATTATTAACACTAATACTAAACTTCTCAAGTTTTTTCAATCTACCTAAAGTAAGAGGTATTGGCCCATTGAAAACATTCCATGATATTTCAAAAGATTGCAATTCAGTGAGGTTGGATATTGAAGCTGGAAAAGTTCCGCTAAGTTGGTTCCCTCCTACAAAGAATTCTTTAATATTGGGAAAAACAATATCTATATTTGATGGAAGACTACCCAATAACTTGTTTGCTGCAAGACTGAAAACTTGAATATTTGATAGGTTGTAAAGTGAAGAAGGAATTTCACCTGACAAATTATTTATAGCTAGATAAAGGCTTTTTAAACTTGACAATTTACCCAAAGAATAAGGTATACTTCCTTCCAAGTAATTTTCTGTAAGAGATATTTCTTGGAGTGAGGAAATATTTCCTAGAGAAGATGGAATAGTACCAACTAGATTATTTTTCCTGAGACCCAATTCACTAAGTTGAATGTTTGAACCTAACTCTGTTGGAATTCTTCCTGTGAGTTTATTGTAACGCAAAATAATTACCTTGATATTAGTGCAGTTAGCGAGCTCCGTGGGAATCTCTCCCCCAATATTGTTGTTGGTCAAGTCAAGAAGTTGCAACCGTTTCAATCGACCAACATGTTTTGGAATTTCACCATGCAACTCGCTGTTGAAAAGTATGAGTATTCTAAGAAATGTTAGATTTCCTACGGATGGACCAAGAGTACCACCCAACGTTTGATTCTCCAAATGCAAGACAGTGACTCTCTTGTGACGACGACCGCATGTAACTCCCTGCCATTCACAGAAATGCAAAGAATGATTCCATGATGGTAGAGAATTAGGCACGCCATTTGTAAGTTTTTCCTTCAAAGAAAGTAAAGCTAACTTATCAGTGTTTGAGTTTGAACTCAAAGAAAGAGCAATCGATACCAATGTCATGCTATAAATCACCATTTGGAAAAGCAAAAACATCATATGAGTCCTCATATTGCTACTTGAGAATCTGTTTGAGATATGATTAGTATATAAAGAGAAAAGTATGTCATACTATTCTGCTTTACTTGACTTAAATAGGAAAAAGACTGGCTCTTTCCACCCAAGTGACCCAAGTGGCTCATTTATGATGGAAAATAGGAAAAAGACGTGTTCAACCAAAAAGAAGGAAAACAAAGACTTGATTGCAATTCAACAACTCCTTTGACAAATGAAATCACGTGAAAATCTGTGATCCTAAGTAAATGTTTATTCAACCAATTCATTGCACTGTCCAAATTTTCTAATGAGAAACGTGATTGATCAATGTCCTAAATTTATACCAAAATCTAGAGTCTCGGGAGATGCCGACAGTCATGGCTGCTGAAGAGCTTACTATCATCTCTTCAAAATGTTAGAGGGTGTACATCTTCTGATTACTATTATTTTCTTTTTCTTAGAAACAAGATTACAAGTATACAAGAATAACAAAATAACCTCTCTCTCTTGAAATTAGAATTTTATCTTCCTATTTTTCCTTATGTCAAGATTGAGAAATTAGCATCCTATTTATAAAAAAAAAATAGCACACTAACCTAATGGACTTTTTAACAATTACTCATTACAAGTTAACTTAGGGTACAAGTTAACTTAAACAGTTAAGCTTACAAGCAAGGCCCAATTCAACATGCTAACAACCCTAGCAATATTGACTAATGCATGTTAGAACAAACTACGACTACAACACGCATTACTCCGACAGCAGCATGCGAACATACTTCGACCTCATGCTTAATTCCTATCGAACCAGAAGCTACCCTTCGACCATACTAGAGTTCGATCCAACATCTCACAAATCTCCACCTTGGATTTAACTCTATAACATCAAGAAACTAGCTTTCTTCATCCATCTTTATCAACTGCATACAATGGAAAAATTTGCAACTGGGCAACATCTTGGTGATCATATCAGCAGCATGTGAACAGACTTTGATTGTTGCTTTACTATCTTCACTCAAGACTCCACCATAATTTAAGACTCTATTCAGAGACCCATTTATGTACCTTAGAATCCACTTCAATGCTTGCCAGTGATCCTTTGCAGGATTCGCCATGTACCTGCTTACAAGACTTACTGCATATGTTATGTCAGACCTAGTTTAGACCATAACATACATCAAAGAACCCACTATATTAGCATATGGAATGCTATTCATATAAGTTCTTTCAACGTCAGTGTTGGGACACTAATCTATACTCAGATTGAGTTGAGGAATTGTCGGAGTCACAGCAGGCTTTGAATTCGATAAACCAAACTTTTCGAGAATCTTTCGTAGGTATGCCTCTTGAGATAAGCATAATCTCGACTGCTTTCTATCTCTGCGGATGTCAATCCCAAGAATACTGGACGCAGCTCTCAGGTCCTTCATGTCGAACTCCTTATTGAGTTCAGCCTTCACCCTCATTACCTCTTCGACATTATTACTTGCTATTAGAATATCATCCATATAGAGCAACAAAATAATAAATGAATTATCCGGTCGAAATCTGAAGTAAACACTGTGGTCGAATTGACTTCTGATGAAACTTATGAGTGCCATGAACTTGTCGATTCTCCTATTCCACTGTCGAGGAGATTGTTTCAGTCCATATAAGGATCTATTCAGCTTGCACACATAATCTTCCTTCCCTTTTTCGACATACCCTTCAGTTTGCCTCATCAGGATTGTTTCATCTAAGTCACCATACAAGAAGGCATTCTTTACATCCATCTGTTCTAGTTCAAGGTCGAATTGTGCCACTGTGACAAGCAACATTCGAATGGATTTGTACTTCACAACAGGAGAGAACACATCATTGAAGTTGACACCTTCTTTCTGAGTGAACCTTCTAGCAACCAATCTTGCCTTGTATCTCTTCGACGTCACTCTTTCGATTTCTTCCTTAACTTTGAAAATCCATTTATAGCTGACTAACCTGGCTCCAGCAGGTTTCTTGATCAGTTCCCAGGTGTTTTTATCATGAAGAGATTTCATCTCATCATCCATGGTCTTCAGCCATTCAGTCTTTTTTCGACTCCTTATAACTTCCTTATAGTCTTTAGGTTCTTCATCTAAAACCTCACTTGTAGAGATTAAGGCATAAGCTATAAGATCTGCATACCCAAGTCTCTGAGGTGGCTTGATGACGCTCCTCAGCCTGTATCTTGATAACAAGTAGTCATTATCAGTCTCCTCATCTTCAACAACATCTTCTGTGTCTTCTTCAACTTCATCTGGGGTACGCAATTCAGCATCAACATGTTCCACCTCAACAGGAATCTCTCCCTGTTCTAGCTCTTTGTCAATATCATCAGTTTTCTTGAAGGTCAGCTCTGCTTCATTGAAAACTACATCTCCATTGGTGAATACACCTCCTGTGACCTAGCTCTAGGCACCATAGCCTATAAGCTTTGATTCCTTCAAGGTATCCCATGAACATGCATTTCAGAGCTCTGATTCGACCTTTTCTTGCCTAATGTGAGCATAGGCCACACAGCCAAATACTCACAGTCTGTCGAGACTATGTAGATGTCCCAACCAAACTTCTTTAGGTTTCTTCATTCCCAAGGGACGTGTATTTATCAAGTAAGCTGATGTCGAAACAGCTTCCGCCCAAAACACCTTCTTCAATCCAGCACTAACCAACATGCATCTAACCCTTTCAAGGATTGTTCGATTGAATTTTTTAGCTAAGCCATTTTGTTCAGGAGTACTTGCTGCAGTCTTATGCCTTGCAATCCCAAACTCAACACAATAACTGTCAAACGCTTCGTTGCAGAATTCAAGGCCATTGTCGGTTCTCACCCTCTTAACCTTTCTGTCAGTTTAAGTTTGACCAAAATCTTCCAACTTTTGAAATTCTCAACAGTTTCATCCTTCGTCTTCTGAATGAATGCCCATAGCTTTCTGGAAAAGTCATCAACGATGGATAGAAAATATCTTGCACCTGAGTGTGAAGGATTCCTTGTAGGCCCCCAAAGATCAACATGAATGTAATCCAGAGACCCATGTGTTCTTTGCTTACCTTTGTTAAACTTTGTCCTACAGGATTTACCAAATACACAAGATTCACAAAACTCCAACTTTTTTACTTTGTCACCTTCTAGCAGGTTCTTCTTCCCCAATTCGAATAGGCCTCTTTCGCTGACATGGCCCAATTTCATGTGTCATTATTCTGTTTTCGACATAGGTTTCGTGGATGCAATATTTGTCAAACCACTTACAACCTCAGCCTCAAGGGTATACAAATCTTGCTTTTTCGCGCCTTTTAAGACCTCCTTCGACCCCTTCATGACTCTTAGGATACTTTCATGATCTTCATGTGTTCAGGGCACACTTTTCTTATGTGACCCTCCTTCTTACAATAATAACATCGAATACCAGATGTTTCGCCACTATAAGATTTTTGTTGGCTTTTACATTTCTTCTTGTCAAACTTACCATCCTTTCGCAAGAATTTTCCCTTAATGGCCAACCCTTCGCCCACCGTCGAAGGTTTATCCTCCTTTCGTTCGTTCAAGTTCTTAGAATACAAGGCTGATTGAACTTCTTCAAAGGTCAGGGACTCCCTTTCATACAATAGAGTTTCTTTGAAGTGAGCATGTGTTCTAGGCAAAGCACACAACAACAACAATGCTTGATCTTCATCATCGATCTTCACATTAATATTTTCAAGATCAAGAATCAGCTTGTTGAACATATCCAGCTGCTCAACCAACACTTTTTCTTCACTCATCTCGAATGAATACAAAGCTTTCTTTAGGTAGAGTCGACTCACCAGAGATTTGGTCATGTACAAACTTTCAAGTTTCACCCATAATCTCGATGTTGTAGTCTCTTTTGATACTTGTCGAAAAACCTTATCACCAAGGCTCAACAATATTGCATTGTGGGCTTCCTCAATCATGCCCGTCATTTCTTTTATCGTTAGCGCAGCTCCCATGGCTGCCTCACCCTTCAATGCTTCCAAACAACTCTGCTGAACCAGTAGGGCTTTCATCTTCACACTACTAGAAAACTTCATTTTAGCTGCGAATTTAACCTCGGCCACCGACACCGAAGCTAACTAGCCTTGACAAAACCCAAGCTATTCAAACGCAAAAAAAAAGCCATTTTAAAGTTACCTTTTACAATTATTTTTATTTAATTCATTATACATGGCTAGGCCGAGGATAGATATTTTTTAATTTTTGAATTATTTTTTTAAAATATTAGACACGGATGAGTTGAGGCTAACTATTTTTATTTTTTTCAAATATATTTATTTTATCTGATAGACAGGGATTAACTGAGGCTAATAATTTATAATTATTTTTATTATATAATAGACACGGTTTTGCTGAGGCTAAATAATATCTCAAAATTCATTTTTCCACTCTTATTTTTCATCTTTCCCTCCTAATAATTCCTTTATCCCCTTTCTCTCTATTATACCAAATATTCAGAATGAAGAACCCTAAAATTAAACCAAATAGATTTTCAGAAGAAAAAAACCCTAAAATCAAACAAAATCGATTTTGTATGGTCCTTGAGAGATCATCTCTTTGTTTTCATCTCTTCCAGTGCCGGAGCCAGCGCCCAGCCAGGTAGGGAAGCTGCCCAGGCTCAACTGCCCATTTTCGTTTGGTTTTCACTCACCAGATTCATGTTGTCGTTCAACCACTGCAACCGCGCTTCCTCTGATTCTCAAGATTTTGTGCCTTACTTGAACAGAAGTGTTGCGAAAATTATGGAGACCGTTCCTTCTCATGCATCGATTGTGTTGGCGGATCCTGGAAGTGGTTGTTCTATGATGGAGTAGCTTGTTCCTGAGATTACGACACACACGCTAAGTTATTTGTATTATCCGAGTTTGTTTCGTCTTTCGATGACTAATTCTTTGATACGGAAGGCTGCTAATGATGATAATTCCTAGAAAGCCCTCTATCACAAGGTGAATAATTCATTTCTCATCATGTTATTATTTTTCCCTTT